CTTTTGACCTATTTGAGATGTATATACTGTATTTCAGGTGTATGTATCGCTTTTAGTTAAGTACGAAACTTAATCTACTGTTAAATTTGGGGGTGGGAAAGGAGGGGGGAAATGTTCCTATCTATTGCCTCACCAATATGGGTGTCCATGTTTGACATAAAAGTAGGAGGAAATAGTCTTTAGCTTCAGCAGATTCAACATCCTTTACATTCATTCTCCTCCTTCCGGTTTTAATCAGTTACAGTTTCAAATTGTGTAGATAGAAAGCCTTGGCAATGTATACTTACACATTTTTTTAAATGTCCCCTGCTACATTGTAACCACCCCCTGTTTTCCAAATGCTGCCATTAGTGGTTACAATAATCAGCTGTAATGTTAGCTTCTAAGAACCATGGTACAAGAGCTTCTTTTATAATTTCCCAGATGGGAAAGAACACATGTACAAGCTTGTTAGAGCTGCAGAAACTGGAAACAGCACTGTGTGGATTTATATTTTTGGAATTCTTTGGGCTTATTTAAGTATTTAACGTCAAACTTGGGTATCCATTAGGAATCAAATACCAATTCAAGGGAAGTGCGTGTGCCACACCAAGAGGAATAAAACGTATATAAATAACTCAGGAGATGAACTCCTGGAAATCATTATTTTCATATTCAGACTAATGTTTTGTGTGCTCTTTGCAGGATGGCAGATGATGAATGGTAATTACATAAACAAGGGTCATTCCATTTGTTTTGAGGATTTTTCTCTCAGCATTTCTGTTCTTTGCTTGAACCATAGTGAAATGCGAAGTTAAAAAAAGTAGAAAATAATTCTAAATTATTATAGACATCTAGAATAAAAAAGTTAATTTTAAAAAATTCTTTAACTTACTTCTCTATAGTGATTTTTTTCAGATATTTGTGACATGTGATCAATGCTTTCAACCTTAAACTTTAACAAGGAATCTTAGTGACTAAGAGAAGGTATCTGAAATGTCCTTGTTACTTCTTTCTGCCCTTTTTAAGGTGGCCATTCTTAACTGTAAAGAGAGCTATTTTTATAGATAATAAAATAAATTTACCACTATGGATGTAAAATTTTTCAAACTCAGTATCAGAGTCATTTTGTGTAATAGGTAGTTTGTAATTGTTGAGGGCCTAAGTACTTTCCAAGTTTCTCATCCCCATTTTACAGAAAAGTATATAAATAAGGGCTATTCTGTAACAACTAGATTTTATGTGTGTGTGTGTGTGTGTGTGTGTGTGTGTGTATGTATATGTATGTATATATGTATTTATATGTGTGTATATATGTATGTATATGTGTGTATGTATGTGTACATATATGTATGTGTATATATATATGTATGTGTATATATATATGTATGTATATGTGTGTGTACATATATATGTGTGGCTGTGGTGTTATTTTGCACCATTGTGGCAGCTGTGACTCACAGTGACCCTGTGGACAACAAATTGAACACTTAGCCTGGACTTTGCCATCCCAGGATCTTGGCCCCACTCAGGCCCTTCATTCTCATTGCTGTGACAATCCAACTTGTCTTTGGCTGATCCTCAGCTTTGCCAACCATGATGTCTTTCTCCATGGACTAGCTCCTCCTGGACACAAGCCCAAAGTATGTGCAAATTAAGTTTAACCTCCTTGCCTCCAAGGAACGCTCTAGCTATGCCTCCTCCAAGACAGATTGATTTGTTCTTTTGGCAGTTCAAGTATATTCAACACTTCCGCTGTATGACAATTGAAAAGCATTCATTCTTTTTTAGACTTCTTTGTTCATTGTCTAACTTGCACATGGATATGAAGCAATTGAAAAATACCATGGTGTGAATCAGGCACATCTTAGTCTGTACAGCTGACACCCTTGCTCTTTAGCACTTTAAGATGTTTTGCATTCAGACTGACTACAGTTCCTCATCTGCTTCACTTGATATGCTAAGCAGTCTGGATCCTAGTAAAACAAAATTGTTAACGACTTCTATCTTTTTTCCATCTATCATGGAGAGATGTCTTGTTGGTCTGGTGGTGAGGATTTTTGCTTTCTTAAGATTGTGGTATAACCCATATTGAAGGCTACAGGAGCTTATCTTCTTCAGAAGGTGCTCCAAGTCTTCTCAACTTTCCATGAGGTCATCTGCATAATGCAGATTGTTGACGAATCTTCCTCGAATCCTGAGGCCATGTCCTGTTTCACTTAGGCCGGTTCTCAAGTTATTTGCTCAGCATATCAAGTGAAGTAGGTGAAGAACTGAAGTCAGTCAGAATTTCTCTTACTAGATGTTGTTGTTGTTGTTATGTACCGTCAAGTCACTTGTGACTCATAACGACCCTATAAACAACAGCTCTGAACCTTAATCTATCTTAAGCCGATTTACCCCAGTCACTGAGTCACTCCACCTCATAGAGGGCCTTCCCCTCCTGTGCTGTCCCTTCACCCTCCCAAACATGATGTCCCTCTCTAAGGACCGGTCTCTCCTCACAACATGTCCAAAGCATGTCAAATGGAGCTTCAGCATCCTTGCCTCCAAGGAGCAGCCTGGTTTAACCCTCTCCAGGATGAGTTTATTTGTTCTCCTAGCAGCCCATGGTATATTCGATACTCTTCTCCAGCACCACAACTCTACTAAGGAAGGAATTTAATTAAAAATAACTCATGTCATAGGAAATTATATAGCTGTTTAAAAAATAGTTCAGAAAGTGATGTATAAAATATGATTTTACAAAAGAAGAGAAAGTGTCTGTTTCTGTGAACATAGAAAAATATATTAGATCCCATGAAATTACCTTGAAAAGTGAGAGTAGACAGAAATGAAAAAACCTTTTTCTTTGAAATCATTCTTTTTAATCTTGTTAAAAGATTAAATTTTGGAATATAAACCCACAATAAATTGAAAGCTAAAGTCTATAAAAGAAGTTTTGGACAGACTTTCAGACATTTTATCTGAGGTTCTCAATAATTTTAGGCACTGGTTCTTAAAGTTTAGCTTGAGATCCTCTGTAATGGTTGCTGAACCTTCCTTAGAACCTATAAACTAAGCTAGAAATGTAGTGTCATGACTTAATCATGCTCACGGGAAACCTGTAACTAGAATTAGAAGCTGTTGTCCAAAGTAAACAAGAGGAAGATCAAAGACTACCTTCAATATAGATTACATTGCCTTCAATATAGATTACATCTTAATATTAAGAAAACAGAAATCTTCACAATTGGACCAATAGACATTGTGATAGATGGAGAAAAGATTGAAGTTGTCAATAATTTCATTTTTATGGGATCGACAATCAGCTCTCAGGGTAACAGCAGTCAAAAAATCAAAAGATGTGTTGCATTGGAAAAATCTGCTGTGAAGGACTGCTACGAAATGCTAAAGAGCAATGATGTCATTTTAAAGACTAAGGTGCACCTGGTCCAAACCATGACTTGCTATACATCTCAAAGTTGTACAGTATATATATAATATATTGATGATGCCAGAAGAAGAAGTGATGCTTTTGAATTGTGTTGTTGGAGAAGAATAGTGAATATCCTATGGGCTGCCAGAATAACAAGTCTGTACTCAAGAAAGTGCAATCAGGGTCATCTTTAGAGGCAAAGATAGTGAAGCTTTCTCTTACATACGTTGAGCATGTTATCAAGAAGGGCCAATCCTTGAACAAGCACTGAATGCTGGGAAGGTGAGTGGAGAGTCAAAGAAAGAGAAGAACCCTCCCCCCAACAGTGGGTTGACGTGGTACTATAACAATGGGCTCAAGCACAGCAGAGATCATGGGCATGGGGCAGGGTCGGGAGCATTCAGATCTGCTGTTCTTAGGGTTACTATGAGTTGTAGGTGACTTGATGTCTCTTAGCAGCAGGAACAAGAACAATTAAGTATGAAAGATGTTCAGTTTCTAAAATTCTGTTTTATTATCAACAAAAAGTAAATTATTTATGGGTTACAAAAATTTGGCATTCACAAATTAAAATCAACATACCACTCTTTATGTTAATTCAGTGTTTTATTAAGAAATTTAGCAAACATTCCCTGCTTGGAACATGCATATAGGTTGCTAATGCCACAGTTTTGATTTAGGGCATATCATCAATGCTGAATTGAGTGAAGTTTGACATTCATTTGTTTCTATTTTTTATTTTTAATTCTAAGTTACAGCACACTTCTCTTTCTCACTATCATTTTAATTTTATTGTAGGTTGTTTGGTAAACTTGACAATGTTTCACTGTGCAAATGTTTTGGTTTGTCATTTTCTTATAACTAGGTTTTAAAGATATGAATGTGTGTGTGTCTTATGGGTCACATATTAATCATTCATAGTCATTTTGTTAAAGTATATGTGTCCACAACTCCCTACTATATCCTTATGCAATGAAACTTTTTATAATGATGCATATCCTAAAAAAATTTGTTATTTAAATAACCTAAAACATATTATCACAGTTATGTAGCTGTTGTTATGTACCGTCAAATCATAGCTCATCCTCCAGCAAGTTTTTATGGGTAGTAAACTTCATGCATGAGATTGCTCATCTCTCTCTCACAGATTTGTGCCTTTGGGTTGACAGCACAGCTCCTTAATTACTGGATATTTTAATGTTTTTGCTGATATTTTGTAATAGAAATTATGTTTATCACTCCCATTTTCCCCATGAAAAAGAAATTATAAGCCATTTAGACATCTTATTAGGAACATGTTTACTTCAATTTGTTAGCTAAGTTTTTTTCAGATTAGTTTCCCCCCACCGCCCCAGGATAGGAGAATATGTGAGCTAAAGGGGCAGTAGGGTCTTTTGCCTCCCTGTGTTAGCCTGGGTTCAGGAAGTATGAAAACATCACTCTAGAAATATGATTATATATGTGGCAAGGGATGTACTGAGATGCTCAGGTGGAATATGGTAGCACATGGCCTCACCTTTGCTGGTTTACGAGAATATCTCCATACAACATTATGAGAATAGGTACTCAGGGTACTTTTTTATTTTTTCACGTTCTGTTTTAGGATGCAAATGAAGACCCTGGAGAAGATGTGGCCCTTCTTTCTGTCAGTTTTGAGGATACTGAAGCCACTCAGGTGTACCCCAAGCTGTACTTGTCACCTCGAATTGAACAGTAAGTACCAGTCCCATTGACTTTGTATGATTTGGAGATTCTACTTGTTAGCCAAGCATTTCTTGATATTTCTTTTACCTCTCTGGAGATCTTGGAATTATTTCCGTTTCTTGATTTCTATTCTTTTAATAGAGCATCATGTGCAGGGTAAATTAAGTTAGTATTCATCACTGCAGCCTTTTGACTAGTCTGAGGATTGTGTAATTTGTGATATGAATGTTGGGCCTTTGTACAGAGTTGACATTGAATGTCTGAAGGGATACTTACGGTTATACCTTAAAGGGGCCTGTTGAATAAACATCGCACTCAAGCTTTGCATGTTTGTATATGTTGTGTTTATTTAGAAAAATGTAACTAGTGTCCTTATAATATTAAGGAAAAACATTGAGAGGAATAAAGACGGAATTAAAGTTCATTAACTTAAAAGAAGGCATATTTGGCTTCTTTCTCTTCATTGAAATGGCTCTCTGTAGCTTCATGCAACAAACAGGCTTCCTGGTAGAAGTAGTGTGACAGCACATCTGTGTTTTAACCAAATAGCTTTATTCATCAGTGGTAAGGGGTACAAGGACTCAATTCTTAATGTGCTTATTGTTGGCTAACTTGCTTTAGTAGCTTACTTCAAAGGAAGCTGAGGTTCTTTGAAAATGAATTGTAAGCAGATTTACTTGGGAAATTCTGACAGGACAGATTTTTCATCAGCAGAGCTTTTACAGACTGACTGAGATGTGTTATTAAAGTTCTCCGCAAGCCAGTAGTCAGGGCTGGTTGATTTCTGTCTGTGAGTAGTTGTGGTCCAACATGCGTATGGGGAGCTCTTTCCCTCTCTGACCTTATTTGATTTAATTAATGAATCATGGGCATAGTATTTCACAAACTGGCGTGACACAGTGTTCATGTTCACGGATGGTATAGTCTAAGCAGCTATATAGAGCAAGTCTTAGTTAAGTGTGGATCTCTGACAGCACTTTGCACAGGATTTTGTAGTATAGGGGCTCAGTGAATGTTTTGTTTCTTAATGGAAAATACCAAACCCTGTCAGTAAGATGTCAAAACAGGCTTGAAAAAGCACCCAAACCAGACTCATTGCCATAAGGTGAATCTCGTTTCCTAGATACTTTACAGGGCAGAGTAGAACTTCCCAGCATTTCCAGGGGAGTAATCAGGCTTTTCATGTGCAGACTGCTGCATCCTTCTTCCTCAGGGAGCAACTACTAGATTAGAACAGCTGACGTTGCCATTAGCAGTGAGCACTTAACAGTTGTACCAGCGACGCTCCTTGGAGATAGTACAGAAAAGTGATTAAAACCATAGGGCCAGGCAGATGCACTTTAACCCAGGTTCTGCCGCTTTCCGGGTGACATACTGTTTAACGTCTCTGAGCTTGTTTCCTCTTCTGGGAAAATCAGGATAATAATACCTATTCCATGTGTTGCTTTGAGAATGGTATTAAACACTATTTATAATGCATTAATTGCAGTACCTGACACTATGGCAAACACCCAGCAGGTAGGACCTTTGAGTGTATCCAAGGAGAATGACTGGGTAAATGTCTAGCAGTGATCAAGGAGGAAAGAACTGCTAAACTAACTCAGAACCAGACGCCCTTTTGGTGACCTTAGAGGATAGAGGATGGCTGCCTGTTCAGGTCTCCATAAATGCAGAAATGTTTGCAGAGGAAGAATACCCCATCTTTCTCTGGTGGTGTCAAACTGCTGACTTTTCAGTTAACTCGTAGCCCAGTGCACCATCAGGGCTTGTTGGTAAATAATAGAGCAAGTATCAGTTCTAGAGGAGTCACTCAGCAGCGGTCGTACATGAGTTCAGTCATGTCTTTCAGTGATGACAAAAGAATTAATGATACACTCACAAGGTGTGGGTAATGTGAATATGAGCTGCAGCCAAGAATTTGCTGACTCACAAAGACAGTTTTTTCAGCAGCCAGGTAATTGTTCTTTGAAGTTATGGCATCCAGTTTGCAAATAAAGTTGCTAAGAAGTTATTTCTCACTGGGAAACTGTAAGATATGATAGTAAAAAAATTACTAGTGAGGGGTAGATTTTAAAAAATTCTTTTCTATTTCTAAAATCTAACTTCCTATGGTTTCTTTTTTTTTTTTTGTTACGTTAAGAGTTGGCCACAGGTTAGTTACCTTTTTAAATTAGTTTCCTCTTATTTCTCCTTATGTAGCTTGGCCTTTACAGCGACCTGGTCCCTTGAACTTCTCTTAATTCACCTGTATTACCTTGCCTGCATGCCTTTGCTCAGGCCGTTTTCTTTATGTAAAATGATGTCCTCTAACCCCTTTGCCCAGTTGAAATGTTATACATGTTCTAGGATAGTTTTTCAAATGTGGTCTCCAGCAGTTCTTATCCTAGAACATAATTGGCCTAGATCCTGGAAACACTGAACTTATATCATGCTTATTATCATCTACCCACTCTAGCTCTAATTATTAATGTATACAATAAAATATTTTGCTAAAACTGCCCATTACTGAAGGGTGAGGAACAAGTCTTTCCATTCTCTTAATGCCTTGTACAAACACAAGGCACACTAAACAAATCTGTTTAGTAGTATTAACTAGGTTAATAAATAATTCCCACAAGGAAATTTGAAAAAGCTGCACTGAGGCCACTTTTTTTCCTGGATAATACAAGCTTTTTTTTTTTAACAGAACTGTATTTTCAAAAAGCCACCCCACAAACTACCAAAAGTTTTTACTGACTTAAGTAGCTGTTTTAAAATGAGGTTCAAAACAGAAATGGTAAAATTAATGTGTGACTTTTTAAGGGATTATGTATTTGCTCAAGAAAAGTACTGAATATCCCATAGATTGCTAAAAGAACAAAGTTCTGTCTTGATAAAGGTGCAGCCAGGGTGCTCTGTCTTGGTAAAGGTGCAGCCAGGGTGCTCTGTCTTGGTAAAGGTGCAGCCAGGGTGCTCTGTCTTGGTAAAGGTGCAGCCAGGGTGCTC